AGGACAAAATTAACGAGTCTACACGAAGTCACACAAGTCTAGAACCATTCTACAGAATATGTATCTACCATTCATGGCAATGCAAACGCGTACACATTTTTGCCAGACAAGGAAGAAAAGTGCTTCACAATTTGGTCCTGGCGTTGGTGAGCATTGCCTCCTTCTACAGAAATTGCCTGTAGTTCTAGATCTGTGCGTATCTTGTAGAAGAAAACAAAACCTAAAAATTAAGAATTATTTCTTTTTTTAGTAAAATGTAGAATAAAATAATTGTTCAAGGTAGCTAATAAGTCATTATATAATACTGTAAAGAACACATTTTGGGAACGAGAGTAATAAATCAAAGTTGTATCGACGAAAACACGAAAAACGATAATTTTTTGATAATGACTGTTATTATTATGTTCAGAATAATTTGTCTTCCCGTCTGCTGCCTAACAAATTTAAGATCGATATATGTCTACGAAGAAGACTGCCATGAATTTAAACGCCTGCAATTCAGGAATGGAAAGAGACGATATCTGTACTTGCAGTGTACCCGCCAACTCACTTCAGCTGTGGTTACTGGCCAGCAGCTTTCATGTTCTGCGCGATGGGTAGAGTATCTAGCGCACATCAGAGAGCACAGACAAATTTGTGGTATGCAAACGCTGAATCCATTATTCGAGTTCAGCCTGAATTTAGACATGAGTGTGGCTAGAGACCACGTGATGACAAGAGCATTAAGAGATGTTATGACCAATCTAGAAGGACTGGCAGTGCGAAAAAGGGGGATTGTACTGAGAGGCCTAGGGGATCTGATAAACATGTGGAACGTGCTAGACAAACATTCATACGGAGTCCGAAGAAGTCAATCTCCAGAATAAGCGAAGAGTTACAGCACGTCTGGCAAGAGGTGGACTGTGGGTGGGAGATAGACAAAGCTACAGAGGACTCACGCTCCGAAGTGTTTCACCCCTAACAACTGCGTGTAAAATTATGTCACGTATCCTGGTTACGTGAATAATAATTAACGGTGTATGGATTAGATGAAATGATTTTTGGACGGTCACCAATCGCAGCTACAAATAATCATAACACTTCAAAAGATTACTGGAACAATAATACACAAAGTAATGTCTTCAACAGATGTTCCTTGTACGAATTCGGTGATTGAAGTCTGTACGAAGGCAAGTCAAAATTCTTAGTTCTGTAAGTCCGCAATTAAGTAATTCCGTCACGAATGAACGAATTCGAGTCTAGTCTTATACTACGACCGACGGTCAATTTGCCAGTGAAGCTTGGAATAAATCACCCATCTGGGACTTACGACTAGATTCTAATAGTGTCAAACAGTTGCTGTTTTGCTGATGGGGGATGCTGTCTCTGAAAAGAGGACGGATCTGTCGTTAACGATTGCTGCTGGTCATCGCCAGCGCACTCATTCTCGGCTACGAGTCCCGTGGGACTCGCGACCATATTTTACTGTCTCAGATTTGAAACTTTCTTGTCCATCGCCTCCTACGCCTCCCTGGGCAAGCTCCCGTGTCTTTCGGCGAACCGTGTTGAAGTCACCTCCTTCAACAGTACAGTATTCACGTTCTTAGCCGTTACTGTGCTTTGAACGGTTCGCTGCAGTGAATATTGACTTTTAATCAGTAAAATTTACATTGCGTGAATCAAAACCCTAGTAACCGAAGTTCTATTGTTGCCTGCCTTACCTAGGACATGTGTTTATCGAGCCGTTGCCTAGCTATACGTGTTAACAATATTTCAATTGATGAGCAGCATACTGCAAACAACATCTTCATATCTGTTTTCGTTCCCTAGCTACATGTGCTTGAAATCATGGAATTCCTTTTGGTTGTCTCTGTACTCACAGAACCTCGGGATTGATCCACGCTCTTCCACCTCACATAATCAATTCCAATATCGACTTTTTATGTGTTTATTTATAGGTACTTGCATATTTGGCTTCCAATTTCCTTGTCAATTAAACTTTACTCGAAATATTATAATAATACATCCCATTGTCTTATACATGTAATACGGTGGTTCTGTGAAATTTTCTTAATTAATGGTACCTCCAAGTTATGCAGAGTTCTGATCATTAGTTTGTCTATAAGCAAGTATTAGCCGCCATGCGTACTAAAGTCACTGGGAGCAAGAAGCCAAAATAATGTTAAATATGAATGCGAGTGGGAAGTGCTTCAGAATATTTAAGATGTACCAGCTCCGTCCAAATTTCCAAACAGCAGAAAACTGCATTTATTGCTCCGCGACGCTAATAATATGAACATTTAAAAATTTTGGTAAGTGGGGATGCAAATCATCTGTAAACAGAAAAACTTCTTTTCAATTCTTAGGGCTAACGGAAGTGTTATCATGTCATTATAATTTATAAAAGAAATTCAAAAGTTGGATTTAACACTGGCTATCTGATACATAAATTTATTCGAAGTAATTAAAGTTTAGAAGAATTCCGTCTTCTGGGATGTGGCGCTGTGTGAGCCGACATTTTGGAGGAATATATGGCCTCGATCTCCATGGTTATAGAAGTCCTCGAGCGAGGAATCTACCTGAGCAGGTGGCTGTCGGGTTACACAATATCTACACGGCGCCACGTTCCAGAAGACAACGTTCTTCAGAATATACTGCCTGTATCGTCAGGTGTAGAATTGCAGAAAATTGAAATTTAGGACATCTTTCGGACTAGCTTGTCACACTCTTCCTGTAGTGAATCTTTTTTTCACAGTTAAAAACATAAACGCGGGTGGACAGTGTTCAAGCGCCACAGTCTCGCCTGTGTTTTTGGGATTCATCGATGGTGATATTCATTCGTTCGTTCGGCTAATCAGACTTCACATCCACTTGCAAAAATTGACAGTGCGATTGTTATAAACATTTGGGGGTACACGCGAACTCAATCAGAAATTCTTATTTCAGCTGAGATTTCGGCATGTTCCGCCTGCCGAGTTTACTTAAATCGGTGTTCTCGGTAACGAAGGCAGTTCTAGTTCTTCTCCTTCTGACAAATTCTTCGATTTCTATTTGGGATTCTTCCCTACATTTCGGCCGGTACTTCCACTGGACTAGCCCTACATCTCGCAGTTGTACTTATACCAAGTGTACCACTACACTTGTACTTGTACTTTTAGTGAAGTTAAACCACGCGTGACAATCTGTCGCAGTTACAAAGGGTGAAATTTCAACGTGCCAATTGAAAAGCACGGCATTGTCATTCATCAGGTGCCTGTGAACTTGAAAGATGATCACGTGTTTGTCAATTAACAATCGAAATTATAGCGATTGTTCCAATTCACTTTGTCTTAATCCGTGCAAATCAATGACCTACATGGCATCATATAAGGTTTTATATGCAGTATTCCGTGAAATAAATACGTGCTCTGCCCAAACCATTGTTTACAACCCTACCGAGAAAAGGCCGTGGATACAGAAGGTGTGGAATCCAAAACGGTCGATTACAAAAAATTCTCTGCTATATCAACTTTATTGTCTTTCCGTCATCAATATTACACGTGGAGAACTGTATCTTATACTGTGTACATATACATATATTATTATTTACTAGGAAATATTCTGCCCCATTTTATTAATCAACTCTGATGTGTTAGCAAGAAAATCTCCTGCTGACGCGAAGAATGTAACCATTAGAGAGAATTTCCTTGTCTAGGCTTCTATACAGGATCCGCCAAATAACAGAAACAGCGCTAATATCAGGACAATCGCTCTCTTTAGCATCCCTTCCTTTGCAATCAGATTAATCTAGAAACTGAACCGCTGCTTCAAATTTAAGTTTTATTAAGAATTTAGCTCGAATTTTTAAAGCTTTAATACATATGTAATATATATATATATATATTGGAAAACATTACTGTAGATCAATATTTTTCTTGGGAAACAAATAAGCGACTGATGGCATTCCACGAAGTCGAAACATTGTAAGGGGTAATGCAAACTAAAATTGAAATATAACAGAATATATTTGCCCAAATTAAATGAATTTAAGTGAATTACGAGTACTATTATTTATACAGTGTGGCATGTCAGGCCAATATCAATATACTGGACACCTCATTTTAATCACAACACACATTAATGTAGTTAATCAAGTTATTGATTTGGTAGGTTCCTATAAGTGGGCTGTTCAATTAACTGGTTTTCAAGAAACAAAATCACTTTCTGCCGTATCTGATATACTGCGCTAATTTTACCTCATTCAGTCATATAAGGAATATATCGAAGGGGTGAAAAAATCCACATGGATCGATTCCCTCCAGTTTACCCACGGACTGTTATGTTCCAAATCTGTCGGCCTCTTGTACCCCTTTCCACTGCAGCAATTCGCGTTGGCGCCTCCTCTGCACTAATAACGATGTTGGCTAAGACATTTTCACAAGAATGTGGAATAAATGTGGGTAGATAACATTCGTTAGCACTAACCGTTCTGAGTTGGGCCGCGCCATAGCTCAAGCGGTTAGTCGCTGGCTTCCCACCGCGGCGGCCAGGGTTTGATCATGGGTCCTGTCAAGTGGAATTTGTGGTGGGCAAAGTGGCGCTGGGGCAGGTTTTCTCCGAGTACTTCGGTTTCCCCTGCCAATCTTCATTCCACCAATTGCTCCATGATCATCCTCACCTATCATCTGGGCCTGGTAAAACAGGCCAGAAGTGGCCGCAGTACACGGGACTTAGTCCCACCCCACTAGCAATAAAAAGAATCGTTCTGGGTTGGTTTACATATACCAGAGGTTGTTGGAGGGGAATACAACAGTGTGTGAGATGGGGAGGCTTCGAGAATGGTCACTCCCACCATTCACGGGATATCTGTCCGCGGCTTCCGTAAGTCGAAAAGTTGCAAAACAATCGAGAATAAATTGTGTGGGACATACATTTTCCTGTAGAAAGACCAGTACACTTCAACTAAAATAAGCTTGGAGTCGCTCGGTTTCCATACCCGCACTCAATACATAAAGAGTTTCGAGAGAAGGTTCAGTACTTACCACAGTCTCCGGCATGCTGAACGCGCGTGTTCTTCTCCTCTCGACAAGACTTCATTCTCAACATGCAGTGGTTAGTGTAGGTGACACCGTCGGTACCACACACCGGTGTGAACATGGCGGGACACTCGGTGGGGCACTGGCATTCAGCTCGCCCCTCGGGAGTCTGCACACAGTTGGCCCCATATGCACAGTACGTCTTCTCGCAAGGCTCTGCAACAGAACGGGCAACATAACTGTCAATGCAAGCAACACTCTCTGTACTACACACCGGTGTGTACATGGCGGGACATGTAGATCTCCTGAATACGTGGAAATTTCATGGAATATACAGCGAAAACATAGCGTTCACTATGTGACATCCCAATTCATTATTCAGAGTAACTGCACAATATTCCAAGCTTAGACGAAAGTTTAAATTATGAAATAAAGGAATTCGTACTGGAATCGAAGGAAAGTGTCATGTTACTTTACTGAAAACAGACTAACCTAATCAGTAGCCCAGTAGGAATCCCAGGTTCGCACCTACGTATCTACCTACTTAAGACCAACTAACCACCCTGTCTGCCTGCCAGCCCTTAAATTTAAAGGGGGTCACAAGCAGTGAAGTTTATTCGGTAATTAACACGCCCATGGTTCCAAAAAATTAAGAATCTGGGAAGTCAGGGGTTACTTATTACATTGACATCATCTGTGGATAAAAGAAAAGACTGAAAAAGCTGCAAATATTTATTACAACTAATTTACGAGGATCATATTAAAAACATTACGTTAAAACAAAGGATGTTACTAATATTGTGTATCCGTATTATTTCCATACAAGCAATACTCTCAGAACAAAAAGTTACAAAACATAACAACTAGCCCCAGTCTCCCCAACATTTTAAGGTACTTACGGGTAAGTATATCTCAACATCCTTTTAATGTACTTACGGGTAAGTATATCTCAACATCTATAACGTTGTGCTCTAATATTATAGGCAAACGCTGTATGGCTATAAATAAGCCATGTAAGAATTTTGACGAATAAATTTGCTGGAGAAATCATAAAAGGTAAAGAAATTCAGCCAGTTTCCAATCCCCAGGTCAAGGTATGAACCCAGAACCCCCGAATTCGGAAGAAGGTCCTAACCAACTTCTAAGGTAAGTTGGTAGTAGCCGCAGGTATCAAGCCTCCAATCGGGTTGAACTGCACCAGTAAAATCGATACGCGACTAGTGGCACATTTCCTTCCTCAATTCTGTTTTATGCAGACGGCCTGGAAAGCCAACTGGGGCTAATTAATTATTAATTGGGGGTTGTGGAGGAGGTCCAGACCTTCGTTCCTTTGCCCAATAATTAACTGAGAGACCACGGGAAATTCTGCGCAGTGCATGTGGTACAGGACGTTTATAAATTAACAGTAATTAACTCTGTGATGGAACTCTTAGTTGTTAAGATGGTAAACAGAGCGCCCTTCATGAAGGTCCATCTTTGTGTTCCTAGGAACTGGCGCCCTGATTTCATCTTGAGACCTTCATCCAGTAAACATCCTCTCACTGTCTTCTGGAAAGCTACATTTTAATATTACATTTCCATACAGCCCATGACTCAATAACTCTTTCCTTTCTAATTTCCGGACTTGAATGTATTTTCACGTATTAAGAGTTTGCGTGACTAATAATAAGGGATTGTGGAATGGATGTATTATACCTTATGTTACAATCACTCTTAATTACAATCACTTATAGCGGTTCCCATAGTGTGGCTAGAAGGAATAGGACAGTTTAATAAATCTAATAACCTCATTGGGATTAGAACCCGCGACCTTCCGACTTGCAGTATAGTGCATTAACCAACTACGCTTCCGCGGTGTGGTTATGTACACTTCATTTGTCTCCAGGATCATTTATTGCCGATACAAAAGGGCTGTTTCAATTCTAATGACAAGGACAATTTAATATCACTGCGCATGGTCAGAAAATGTGTTCCTCTTTCATTCCTTCGTGTATTATAATGACGCTGTTAATACCTCAGACAATAAGCCAAATGTACGATGGTCAGATATTACTGAATTGCAAGGGCTGCAGAAGCAAGCAACAGTAGAAAATTGCCTGGAGGAACTAATGAAAACTGCGATATGTCTCAATCAGGATGCTAGGCGTCCTGACCGATATACGAACCACGAACTTCCTGAATAAAAATCATAAACATTAGTGTGTAAGACAACTTGTTTCTTAATATTCTCTCATGGATGTTCATAATTGTTTACCATATCGAGAAGTGTTGTGAGGTTAGTTTCTTGCGTTACAATCTCATTTCTATAAAGGGATGTGTTTCAGAAAGCTTACAAATTTCGACTTGAGCTCCATGAACAGTAGCAGTTATAGTCGACAAAAAATTAAACTTCCATGAGTGTTTTTAATATCGGTTTCCAATACCACCTTTAATTCAATTTGTTCAATGTCAGGTTTTAGCAAACGTGACTCTTTAGAGTAACGCCGTGTAGTTCGATAGGTCAGCGGAGCTCCGTAGGAACGTACTGCTTTTCCATTCTCCATTCTTACTGCCAGCATCTGGCCGACTGTCAGCTTAACTTGATTTCTTACCCTGAAAATGAGGCAGAATATTCCTCCCAAAAGTCGACAAACTATGAGTCTACACGATATTACACCCCAGAAGACAGACCCGTTCATTAAAAAAGTAAATATTTCCCTATAACAGGCCGTGGAGGTCCACGGAGTTGTGAGATGTTGTGGCTCCCACATTTTCTAGAAAATCGGCTCACAGATGGCTGTGAGGTTGTAATCCTTACGCGCTGGGCGCCATTTACCACCAAGAATATTCCTGGTACACATTTCTGTTAGAGGCTGAGTCAACCCCATGGCCATAATGCGGCTAGAAGGATTAGGTGAATTGAAAAAAATCCACCCCATCGGGATTTCATCCCGCGACCTTCCGGTTTATAGCGTAGTGCCTCAACAAACAGCGCTACCGCGTACCCAGACCCGTTCATTATACTTTTATTTTCTTCTGAAATGACAGTTGCGGGCAGACCAAGGAAGGAATGCACAAGGCGATAGATACGAAATTATATTCCCTCTTCTGGAATTGTATCACTTCGCCAAGAATCCTCACCCATAAGGAGTAGGTAGGCATTGTGGTAATGTTATGCATTTAATTTGGGACGTATGGATACTAAGCAGAACTGCATATTCTGACCAAATTCTTCAAGATTTCCCTCAAATCCCTGGAGAAATATTCTGTGACATTAGACTATTCTAAATGCGCCACAGCCGCTCTATTTATACCCATTTTGAGCATTCGTAATGATCTATTCACATCGCGCTCATCTGAGTGTAAACTCAACAACTGTCACGGCGAATTCACTTCCGAATTCGTTTTGCCTGGCGACAGGTTTCGCGAGGAAACCGCGTTGCTAGGAGACACGTCTGTCACAGTTGCCACTCACGTTCCTACCGATCTCTTCGTTGTGGTTCCTCTTGTAAAATAGTAAACTTTTGTGATGATTCTGTAATTGCTTGACAAGAATGACTGTCATTCCTTGAAATATCAGCAAAAGAGATGTGTTAGGTAGCAGATCGTTTTGAATACAAAATATCAAGGATATGCAAAGAAACTGGGGGTCATGTAAGGGGTTTCAATATCCACACTTACAAAACCTCGGTAAAATTCCCCTTGAACATTTAGCGGAAAGATCCTTCGTTAATTTATGTTTATAAGAGGGCTGTTCGGAAAGCAAACTCCATTTGTTTTAAGAAATTAACTTAGAAGCGGAGGAGATCTCGCGCATGCGAGGTGGCGTCACAACCACCACATAACTGGTTACCTAGGGTTTGTTCTTGTCTCTAGAGAGTGAGTTTCGATATGTCCTGTAATAAATAATCCAACCAGCTGCGACATTTACTTTGTTTTCTGTCTTCTTCACGTTAAAACATGAGCGCTGAGGAAATCCATTGTGAATTATGTGCGGTTTACAGTAAAATGTAATGAGTGAAGCAACTTTAAGAAAATGACATAGATTGTTCAAAGATAGGCGAACAAATGTTCACGATGAAGAGAGAAGTGGCTGTTCAATACCCATTCAGTCAAGAGATGCTTTACTTAAGACAGTTTATATGCTCGGTGGCCTTGAACGTGGGAACTGAAGGGTCATTATTCTTTAATAAGCTCTAAACTTTAAAGTTCAAAAAGGGGAACTGAGTGAGTATGACATTTATCGTGACGGGGATGACCACCGCCGCCGCCGCCGCCGCCNGCAAGAAACCAACTGGGGCGAATCACCGTGCCATTCGTCTGAAGTCAGTTGAGAAAACTAAATGATTCGGCTGAAACTTCTTCCTGGTCACAATTCACTTATGATGTGCCGTCACTCCTTGATTTGTTGAATTGAAGTTACAGATTCCAAGATTCAAATTTACCTCCACGAGGCAAACAGTAAAAGAACCAGAATGGCTTAGCACAACGTGTATCCTGCACGCCTGACCGACTGTTTAGCTGACTGAATGAATAAGCCATGAAGGGCCTGAGTGACTGATTCAAATTCTGCTCAACTAACAGGCTCACTGGATCTTCAACTGACCAACTCTTTGGCGGACTGACTGTTCGTTTTTACTGACAGACAAATGGACGGGCTGATTAGCTGATTTATTGACTTATCAATTGATTGGCAATTTTATATTGATGAATGTCGTCTTCTGGGATGTGGCGCCATGTAGATATTTTGTTAACTGACGTTTCGGAGGAACATATCGCCTACATTCTCAGGTTATAAGAAATCCGCGAGAGATGAACCAGCGTGAACAGGTGTCTGTAGACACAAACACAAATTATCTACACGGAGCAACATCCCAGAAGTCGGCATTCTTCATAGTCACCTCCGAGAAAACCTCAAACTTACAATTTGATATGGGCAGCCTGATCGATAGGCTGGATAATCGATGCGACGGCTGATCGACGGAATTTAATCAACTTACTGCCTAACTACCTGATTGGTTCGGCAAATGTGTGGGTGAATGACTAAGTAATTAACCGAATGACCGGTTGATTGTTTGAAGGACTGACAGGCTGCCTGATTGCCTACGTGTACGATTACTGACTCTGACCACTGACCGCTGCCGAAGCAGGGATATGGTGATGCATACTGTAGACGGTATACACTTCCTTCAGTATAAATCTAACCTTGTAAGAACTCCCAGCACGAACATTTTGTG